GCTCAGGGCTCTTTCTCCTTGCTTTCCCTTGGGTCCTCCTTCAGGTTCTCGGCCACAAGCTTCATTTGCTGTTGAGAGATCACAAGATACTCAGTGAGCCACGCAAGCCTAGGTGGTACCACCCAGGCAGCAGGGGAGGCCCTCTCTCTGCAAACCATGGAGGAATGGTGGCTCTGACACTGCCTGTGGCTTCCTGCAAGTTTTGGGTGTGACTCTGACTAGATGGGAGCCGTTGGTGTGGGCAGAAACACAGTGTTGTGTAGGCCCAGCACAATAGGACAATGTCCTTGAAAGGACATTGAGAAGCAGTTGGCATCTTCTCTTCCCTGGATGACCAGGATGAGGGGAGTGGGAGACAAAGCCCGAGGGAGGACAGGGCCAAGTGCTTGCTCTGCTCCTATGAGCTAAGTGACCTTGGCAGTGTGGTCTCGCAGAGCCTGCGTTTCCACATCCACACAGTGAGCAAGGAAGCACATTGTGCAGAGTGTCTGCGAGGTTCACTGCCCATGAGCTCCCTGGCTCAGAGGTGATGCTTCAAGTCATCACACATTTCACCCTTTGTCTCTATAGCGGTAGGACTGCCCTTACCCTTTCAACCACACCCGCATGGGGAACATCCCATGAAGTCTCCTCGAGGGTGTGGCCAGGGTGAAGATGCCCTCCTGGATGGCAAGATGGCAGACTGCCAGGGAGGCAGGCAGCCCGGGGCAGGGGAGTCTCCCATCTCCCGTAAAGCTCCCAGCCACCTCTGTGCTGTGGGTGCTGGAAATCAAGACTATGGTTCTGCCCTATTTGTTGAATAAATAACTATTTGGAATTTGGCTAAGATTTTTGATAATGGCCTTGAGTAAAGCCATGCTCTCTGTGGCTGTCAGGGAGAGAAGCCCCTTCCACAGCCTCAAAGTTTGTCTCCTGTTCTGTTTCCCCTCTGAAGTATCCTTCAGATCTGTAGTACCTTGGGATAGCCCACTTCGTGTATTTTCCAACCATGGTTTATGTCCACGGGCAGCTCAGCAATGGGCTTCTGCAGGCTGGCCCCTCTCAATTTGGCTTTGGGTGAGGACTGCCAGGTCCTGGGTTACCACATGTATGCAGGGCTTAGGGAGTGGCTTCTGCTGGGTGAGGGGGCTGGAGCCATGGTGACCCCTTAACCAATGGGGGCAGGTTCCTTCTGCAGGGGCTGCAGCATTTCAGCAGAGCGTTAGTGTTGGCCCAGGGACAGGCCCTGTCCAGACACCACTCAGCCCAATAGGGGAGGGGATGGTTTGACTTGGTTCACAAGCCTGCAGAAGCTGAGCTGCCATGCCCTATGAGAGTCTCCCTGGAAGCTATTTTTTGTACCTGCTACCTTTTCCTTTGCTAACGCTTCAGGTCTCTCACCAGCCACACTTCTGGTAACTATGGGATGTAAAATATCCCTATAAAGGAAAATGTTAATAGTATTTTAGCCCAGGTTCACTGCAGACTTTTCTAGCTGGTGTCATTTAATACATATGAGACTTCTAAATTGTCTTTTTAGGAGGGAGAGAGAGAGAGATGCATACAAAGAGAATTAATATGATTGCTTGCTGACTGATAAGTAACCATAGACATTAAAGGCTAAAGAAATTTAACTAAACCGAAATAACGATGAGGATAGAACATTCCCCAGCTTCTCGCAGAATCCTATAGCCACACTTCCCCAGTATTCCACAGGGGGAAGAAGATCAACGTGGGTAGCATTTGAGGCTCCTTTTGAGGTGCAAAACGCCCACCTGCCATTTGTGTGGATATGGTTAGGAGCCCCACATCATCTAGAAGCTCTCCTGGGAGGGGCTGCCTGCTCCACAGCAGCTAGGCAGAGGGCCTTCTCCCTGAGTGACCAACCCCTATGTGACTTCTGTCTCACTTCTTGGAGCTGTCCCCATGGTGCCCTCATAATTAACATGCCCATCAGGGACCCTCGGTGACCAAGTGGCAGGTGGGGAGTGTGAGGGCCTCCAAGAACAAGTGATGTTTGAATTGGCTTGAGGAGGCTGCCCCATGACAGAGGGGAGGGAGGGAATCAAGGTGCCTGACTCCTCTGAGGCCCAGGGTCAGACGCCTCACCAGATTTGGAGGAAGAATTCTGAACCCACTTGGCATGGCTTCCCCCCCGCTGTGGTGCCTGCCCTAGTCGCATAACACCTAAGGGCCTGGGGATGTCTGTGAGGTTACAGGGTCACCACGAGGAGCTGCAGCAGGCAGTAAAGGCATGAAACACGGTCAGGGCTCCTCTAGTCCTCCAGTGCCTCAGCCCAGTTCATGCCTGTCCTAGAGCAAGTCTTTGAAAGCCAGGATGATACAGCCTGATGGCCTGGTCAGCTGGGCCAAACCCATCCCAGGCCCTCTTGCTATGGCTGGTCCCCTGGGCCTTGATCTGACTCACTGGAACTTTGGGATCCCTGAGCTGGGCCAGGGCAAAGAGGCATCTCAAACCCAGCTTGGTAGGTAGGGATAGGAAGGGCTTCCACAGGGCAGTGATGGGCCTAGTGGTACCTCCCAGGAGCACTCTGCTTCTCAGGGACATGGGAAGGGGCTGGGGCTCAGCTGACTCCCTGGGTCTCCTTAAGCCCACACTTCCCAGCTGGGAGATGCTGAGCCAGTGGCAGAACCAGAAATTAAAGCCTATACCTAAAGCCTAAAAAACCCAAGCAGTTTGGAAGAAGTGAGCTGTAGGAGCCTGCTTACCTCAGTTAGTGCAGGGCCAGGGACTGAAATCCACATCCTGTGCAAACTGGGTGGAGCAGGCCAGTGCCTGTGGCAAGCTCCACCTCGCCTAGCTGCAGGATGGAGTCAGAGGCCACAGAGACTTGCTAGTGGTGGAGGCGGGAGGGGGTTAAGATGACTTCTCTTGAGTAAACCAGTTGCCATCTACTGCTCATGGGTCTGGATCCCCCTCAGTGTGAGGGGTCAGGCAACTAGCAAAAGAAACACCCCCTTTGTCCTTGTTGTAGAGACCGTGAGGCAAACCTGCCCTCCTGGCAAAGAGGCTGAGCCCCAGCCCCTGCTGAAGTCCTATGGAAGCCCACTGTCCCACCATGGGGAGCTGGTAAGCGCTGGCAGAACTAACTCCAGAGCCACAGAAATTCTGATTAGGAAGGAACCTTGAAGACCAATGTGCCTCATGACCACTTAAGAATCCCAAGATGAGACCTGGTTAAATGCAGACTCATAGGCCCTCTTTCTGACATGCTGACTTCCTGGCCTGCAGTAGGGCTCAGGACCATCCCAGGCTTCTAAGTCTTGCATTTACTGTCTGCCACCTTTCACATACAAGCAAGCTGGAGTCACAAGGGGTGGTGACTGATCCCTCTCAGGGCACACTATGGGTTCTCAGTGGGTGGGCTGGGGCATCTCCTGACCCCAGACTGCCTCTTAGAGCTCAACTCTTTGGCTTCTTCTTTTTGGCAGGCTTGGATGGGGGGTGGGTAGGGGTGAGAGTGAACAATAATATCCCTTTAAAAAAACCTACTTTCTCTGAGAGTCTTTATAAAAATATAAGATAATGGAGCTGACTTTTCTACAAAAAGTATCAGAATGGAGAGAATGGAATGTTCCCCCAATTCATGACTCATTAAAACTCATGTTGTAAGTTATCCTTTAAAAAGTACGGATTGAGGGTGGCACCTGTGGCTCAGTGGGTAAGGCGTCAGCCGCATATACTGAGGGTAGTGGGTTCAATCCAGCCCTGGCCAAACTGCAACAAAAAAATAGCTGGGCATTGTGGCGGGCACCTGTAATCCCAGCTACTGGAGAGGGTGAGGCAAGAGAATTGCCTAAGCCCAGGAGTTGGAGGGTGCTGTGAGCTGTGTGACAGCACAGCACTCTACCAAGGGTGATAAAGTGAGACTCTCTCTCTTCAAAAAAAAAGAAAGAAAGAAAGTATAGATTGAGAGGGAAGAGCAAGATGGCAGCCAAGTAACAGCTTCCTTGCAACTGGGTATAGTGAGATCGGGAAGAGAAGACTCCAAGCATCTCTGGCTGGTGGGATCTGCCAAGGAACATTCCTTTGGGGACACAGGGAGACAGCGAAAGACTTCTGGACCCCATGAGAAGGATGAAAGCAGTGGAGAATTGGCAAGTGGTAGCATGGTTTTGTTCGTTTGGAAGCCACCCACAGCTGTAACTACAGCAACAGCGAGATTACAAGTAGGAAAGGCCTTACCTGTGGGCTATTTTGGTTTTTTTGGACTTGGGCACTCAGTTGAGCTACCTTGGGAGAACTTGAGTGAAAGAGCAAATGACTTTAAGCATTGTCTAGGGCCCTGGACTGAGCCGCTAAGCCAGAATGGAGCTAATATTGTTCAGCTGTGGGCCAAATGTGCAGCTATTGTGGGAGAACTGTCCCTGCAGGCTCTGCTCTCAAAGTCGCAGCATGAGGATGAGGAGTGGCCGGGAGACCTTGGGCCAGTAATCTAGTGTCTGTCTGAGCAGCCCAAAGGCAGGAACTGAGATGCAGACATTTCAGTATTTGGCAGATTACAGCCTTGGCCCTCAGGGGCATAGAGTAACACTGGTTTTGGCGCTCTGGATAAGTGGGCAGCCACTTCAGGAGAGATCCCAGTGACAAGTGCTTTCCTGGGGAAGCTTCTGCTTAGCCAAGGTTAACAGTTTAAAGTGGGCTGAGGAAAGACTTAGGCTCTCAACCCTGTGGGATTTGAGAAATCAGCAGAGGCCTCCAGTCTCCATCTCATATAGCTGCATCAGCATTGTGATTAATATCTCATACCCTAGAAGATCACCGGTTGCCCAGACTATATTCAGCAAGATATATATACTGCTTTGTTTTTGGTTTTGGCTATTTTTTTTTATTTCAACATTTTCCTTCTAGATTTTTCTTTCTCTCCTTCTTTTTTCTCTTTCTTTCTTCATTTTTCTAGTTTAAACATAATTTTACATTGTTACCTTCTTTAACAATTAGAACTTCATTTTTGCCAGTGTTTCTGCCCCTATATTTGGCCCCCCCCCCAATTTTATCCCTTGAGGTTTTTTGTTTGTTTTGGTTTGATTTATAGTATTTTTGTTTTTCTTCTCTACTTGGTTGAGG